AATCAGATCATCCAATTTAATCTCATCAGTATTTTTAATTTCATCAGTATTATATAATCAGTATTAATAATATATATTTTTTATTTATATATAAGTTTGTATTTGTAAATTGTAACCATTATATTAAATCTTATTTTACATCATTAATTCTATAAACTAATTATGAAAACAAAAAAAAGTGTTTTGTATGTTTGCTTGCTTTGCCAATATGAAAATGATTCTGGTAAATATGTAAATACTGCTACTCGAACACGACATTGACGAAGAGAAAGAATATTTCATAATAATGATAGTATACCAGCCAATAGACCTTTATATAGTAGTAACATAATAAATAGGAATGATAACAATCAAGATGCCAATTTAAATATAATAGAAGATGATACTTTATATGATGATGAAGATAATAACAATGTTAGTAGTAACTCAAAATCAATGAGTATTAATCATGACAATGTTCAAGATGAAATAATAAATGAAGATATTTTATATAATGGTGATAATAATGATGAAGAAGAGGAAAATAATAATAATGAAATTAATAATAATGAAGATGATGATTATAATGATAAAGAAGAGGAAAATAATAATAATGAATATAATAATGACGATGAAGATGATTATAATGATGATGATTATAGTAGTGAAGAAAATGAATATATTAATGAAGAAAGTAATGATAATGCATATAATAATGAAAAAGAAAATAAATTTGGTAAGTAAATCTTTAGTTTATTAATTATTATTAGTATATAAATTCAGTATTAATTTAAATATTTATATTAGATTTATCAGATAATTTAATCAAAGGACTTCAGCTTCTTTATATCAAAGAAAAACATACAATTTCAAATCAAGCATTTAATGAAATTATGTCAATTTTTGGCATATTAGATATTTCTCTTTATAAGCTTCGAAAAAGCTTAAAAACTATTGTTCCACTTAAGCCAAAACTTATAGATATGTGTTGAAATTCATGTTGTGCATTTATTGGGCAAAATGCAAATTGTAATACATGTCCTATATGTAATGAACCACGATACATATCTGGGAAAACACAAAAGCAATCCCGAAAATTAGCTGCATACTTTTCTATAATTGATAGTTTAAGAATGCAATATAAGGATCCATTTCGAGCTATGATTCTTCGATATTGACATGAATATACATTAAGTGAAGAATATATATCTAATAGCGGTAAAATTGGAGATGTATTTGATGGTAATCGGTATAAATCTTTAGCTGCATTAGGATTGTTTTCTGATTATC